TTTATGTTGAAAAAAATATTATTAACAAATCTATATAAATTTTTTAATTTGCTATACAAAGGTTATCTGGTACTTAGGCTGCATTTAAAAAAAATGAAATTCGCGGAATTTAATGGAATAAACTTGAGTTGATAGTTAACTCGAGTTAATAGTTAACTCGATATAAACTCGAGTTGATAGTATAATTAATTTTAGATATAATTAAGCTATAAGGACTTTCTTCATAAAATGCAATTCAAACATAGTATATTTCATACAATAAAAAATCATTTCAACTTATGAAATATTAGCCTTCATGTCTCTTGTTTACTCTGATTCAATTAAACAAGAGATATTAGAATCAATACCTTATTCGCCCGCGTAGCAATGCAAAAAAGTGCTAGTACAATATAATATTTTTTTTTATATAAAATGCTTATAACTTCTGGATTCTTCGTTTGATGGTATTGGAATTAATCTCGTTTGATTTAACGTAAATGATTTCTTCCGAAACAATATCTTACATATTCAGACATCCATAGAAACCAATGTAAAGTGTGTACCACAGTACTTGTCTTAAGAAATGTATTTATTTATATATAAAAACTCTTGCAACTCTTATTTATTTATTAAATTGACTCGTTTATAGTTACATTTGATTCAGTGCCAAAAAAAAATTTATGTCTAAGTAAAAAATTGTGCTATTTCGAACATTAAACTCCCTATAACTTCTAGACTTTGCTCCGATTGTTTCATGATTGATCTTATTTGATTCAGCGTAAAAAATAAAGAAAAAAAATAGTAACAATACCTCATTTGCTTGTACATACAATTCTTGACCATATTCTCTTTAAAATAGATAAAAAAGTACGTTGGAGACTCGGAAATTTTTCAGCCTTTTTTTTATCACGACATAACATAGTTTTTAATGAAACTATTCTTGGAAATTAAATAGACACCCATTTTTTAAAAAAACTACTAGCCTAAATAGTAATTGATCACTTTACATGAGGTAAACATTTATATAAAAACATTAATTTAGATGGCAGAAAAATATGTGATGAAAAATCATCTTTATCTGCTAATTTACATGAAAAGCAAAAGTTAAACCACGGATACGAGGCTAACTTGCCACGAACTGTTAAGATAATAATTGTTCATGTTTTTTTTTGTTTTTAAGAAAGAGACTTACTGCGAAGTCAGAAATCTTATTAACTGTCTTTCCGTTACTTGGTCTTTTATTTTCACGATTATTTCTTTTCAGTATTAAATAACACAATCGCATTTCAGAATAAACCGTCCTTTCCTGACCGAGAACTTGCAAATCAAATTGAAGAGTTCTCTAACTTTTCCCTCAACAAAATCTTGAGTAAATCTTTCTCTACGAGTTAAGTACTTTATTTCACCAAAATAACTCGAGCGAAAATCGAAGAAAAAACTATAAAGAATGGATGAAAAGAAGAAAAAACATCTCCCACCTTAATTTCACTTGTTAATGTTCGATTTTCAGTGCTGTTTACGTTTGACATTAGGGATCCCTTAAGGGAAAACCATTTACCAAAAAAAGAAAAGAAAGAAAATGTCAGCTTTCTTAAACCTTTGCAAGGTTTGAACCAATCCCAACTCAAAGTTTGTGTTCGAAATTGGAAAAGAGGCAATGTTTATTTAAGGGGAGCTGCACACAAATTGGACAATTTTCCCTAAACTCTGGAAATAACTAAAAGGACAACTTGAATGGAAGCTTATTTATCTCTTTGATACCTAATTGTTATTTTTATGATAATTCCGTTTGTGTGTGCGTGAAGAGAATAATTTTTAATTATTTTTAGCGAATTGAACTACTGTATTGCTTATTTTCAATAAAAATTAAACAAACATATAGACATAATACCTCTTTAGGCTTGAAAGGTGAACTAGTTGCTTTGAATGAGAAGGAAATAATCAAATTGTAATATTTTTTGTACGAAAATTTACCTTAAAGTTAAATGTATTTGCCTTTTTTACAAAGCATCGTTATTTCAAAGAAAAAGAAATTGACATAAATACAAGAAAAAAAGCTTTAGGTTTGTTTCCACACAGAGTTTCTAATGTCTTAACGAAGAATAAATAAAACATAAAACAACTATCTCCAAGAATTTACAATATTTAAAGGATATGCTGTTTTTTGGGGGCTTTATTGCAATAATAATTTTTATAATAGGGCTTTATATGATTTTTAGTATTTGTTAGTATCTATCTTTTCAAAAAACAATTAAAGCAAGCAAAACGTATTTCATACCGTGAAATCAGCTTAACTAAATCTTTCAACTAAAATAGCATCAAACAATTTAAGGACGGTTTTCTAGCATTTAAAAAGTTTTACAAGAGATTTTTCATACCAAACAATCTATTTCTCTATTTCAAGGAGCTTTTAAGACAATTTTAGCCAATTTTAGGATTTTTTATACTATGAAATAATTTCACAAATTTATCAACTCAAAAGCTAATGTATAGTATATTTAATTATTAATTACTTTGGTAATGGATTAGGTAAAATAAATAGTAAATATAGTTTTACAATATGTGACATAAGCTGGTAAAATTTTGTAATTTTTTCATAATACCATAAATCATGGCATAAACAGCATTTACTTGGTTAAATTTAAGTTTTAGCTCTGTATTTTCACTCAATGTGTGGTAATGAGAACTGTAAGAATTCCCGGAAAATTAGAATTTCCGGTAAACCGTTGTAAAAAGAACAGACAAATTACATAATGAATGGTTAAAATACCGTAAGTTTTAGTTTAATAAACCAGAATTATTATTATTATTACTTACCAGAAAAGACCTTAGACATGAAATTCTACCAGAATTTTTATCTCCATGTAAGATTGCTTTGTATTATAGTTCAACGTATCTATATCATGATTTAAAGCTGAACCAATTATTCTAAGAGATATTTTGTGTAGGCATGGAATGTTTCTGTTTGCAAATAAGTGTCCATTCTTTGGTAAATGTGACAAAACTGAGTTCGCAACATTTTTCGCGTATTTGTCATTTTCAAAATGAAATATTATATCTACTTAGATGTGGTTATGGAAAGTTTTCACTTCATAGAAAAATATTTTCATGAAAAAAAGTCAGCAATATAAAACCCAGATTAAAGCTACCCAATGGTAATATTTTCAGTTACATTCATGCGTACACTAAATACTGATAACTAGAAAGTTTACACTGGTAAATGCCACACAAACTTTAAACTAAATGTCGTGATTTTACAAGCTAGTGATAAAATATACTTTGAAAAAATATACTTTTGAATTAAACAAATGGTCTTAAATGTGTCGTATTCGATAAATTAGAGTCACTGGCCAAATTATTAGACGAACTAAAAGATTCTACTTAAAATCTTAATCATGAGGTGATACTAAGCAGCTTTATTGTTTCTACGCAATTGAAACCGGCTTGTTACGATATATAATATAAATTCAACAATTAAATAAATTATACGTTATATTATAGAAATATGGAATATTTGTTATATCATATATCTTATTAGTATATTATAATAATTAGACCAAGTTATTAGACGCACTGTAGTGTTTTAATAATTGCATGTTTTGCACGAATTAATATGCAGTACTTTTATGTTTAAACATACACGCTATGGGTTTTTATTCAAGAGATTTTTTATATATTTCCTATTTGTATTTATTTTTAACGTATTACACAACAATGCCAACTAATTGATACACATACATAAACAAGTATAAACCGGTTTTAGCAGCGTAGAAACAATAATGTTGTATAGTATCGCCTGATAATTAAGATTTTACATAAAATCTTATAGTGCGTCGAATAATTTGTCTAGGAACTGTAATAGAAAAAGGTTTCTTTTACCCATATCTAGAGAGTATTAATTAAAAATAAAACTTCGTTGTAAATTCCTCAAATTTCACAATTTATAATAATAATATATTTTACACAATATTGCAAAAAAACATTTAACAGTATTAAGAAACTTATTTTCAAAACAATAATGTAGTTATCATTAACTTTGAAGAAGTTTATAATATTACTCGTTGACTGAAAGTACATTCAAATACATTTAACCAGTTTAAAAAATGTCGATCAAAATTTGTTAGCTGGTCTTCAAAGTACATAAATTGGGATTAAGTTGTACTTTAATTTAAAATTTTGCAGGTATAAGTTCAATTTTAAATCCATAAATCAAAATGCAATCGATAAATTTTGCAGATACTCACTTTTATTAAAACAAATGTTCTAAAGAGTTAAAAATAACAAAAAACTTCTTTTGTTTCTTGATAATAATAGATGGAGTGTCGTGTTTGAGGGCTCGGAAATAAATATATCTTTCTTTCAATTTAATTATAAAGCAAAAGAATCTTTTTTTCTCATTTGAAAAAACAAGTCTTTTGCTTCATAATGTACGTAAATATTATATTACTGCAACTTACATCTTATTGCGTTAGTTAGATGAGACATATTTCATCGTTTTATCAATTAAAAATATAGTTTTGCATTATAAAGCAAAACAAAGATACTGAATAAATGAAATTACCCTCGCTTTTTATAACGGTAGTAAATAATATAATCTTTTCAATCAAAAACAAACATTGAATAATAAATTTTTCAAATAGTTATCTTATATTGATAATGATAACTTATGGGATATCGAAGATTTACGCAATGAAAGTGTCTCAGAAAAAATAAATTCAAAGCAATAATATAAAGATCTGAAAATATTTGATAAACACTTCATTTTTGTCGTCGAATCTATACATTGGTACAAAAGAAGTAAATCCCATAAAAATTCCTTGTAAATAGCGAACGTTAAAGTTATTTCTTAAAAAAATAATTTAGATTCAAACGTTGTATACTTTTATTTTAAAGCTTAGCAATTAAATTAAACAATGAAACGATTCCAAATTTTTCTTTACAGAAAAAAATATTTAAAAATTTATAAAATGGTAAAATATTATTCTTTCAGAATAAACTGATTATAAAAAATGTTTACATACCCATGACTTGAACAAACACGTCTTTTTGAGAGCGATCACCGTCTTTATTTTCAGCGATACAAGTATATTTTCCTTCATCCGCTTTCTTGTTTACTTCTCTGATAATCAATGTGCCATTTGGAAACACCTGTTGTCTGTGATTTTGGGGTAGCACTCTTGAATCTAAGAAGAAACGTAGTCAAAGCGTAGTTAAAAAAAATTACTTTTTATGAAGATTAAAAATTTTCTTATGTATACATTTTAACTTTGATGGAAAAAATGTCTCAAACAATTTTTACTTTAACTGAATTTGAAACCTCATGTATATATATATATA